AATGCAATAAATCCGTTCAATGTTTTTGTCTGTATTTTACGATACATAATATTGTGTCAGAGTATTGTTCGATATGTATACCATCCGTAGAATATCGTGCTTTGCTTTTGATAAAGTTGTCATTGCGATCGCCTATTTGTTTTTTTCTCTCATATTATTGCGATTTTGAACAGATAATCACGCGTTTCTGACAGTCTACAGATTCATTAATCAAATATCATCATCATCTTCCCTGACCGTTTCTCCTTTCGGTCGCGGAGGCAGACCCGTCAGAGAGAACCTTCAATGTTCCCAATTGTCAGAGTCTGAGCTTTGGCAAAAGATATCTGGAGTCTGGAGCAAACTCCTTCCATATTAAATATATATTCATATTAAACATATATCCTCGTTAATCAAATAATTATTCATTAAAATATTTGGTGCATTCATGGATAAAGCATGTTTGATTTAAGTTGCCTGTTCTGAGTACTATTCAAAATCAGTCCATATATTCATCTCAGGAAGAATATAGAATTTTCAAAGTATAGAAGAGCATAGAAGAAAGAAGCACGTTCACAGACGCTTTCCTCAGCCACAAGCGTCGAAACAATCAAGAGTGCATGAGCAGTCAACTAACGAGTAGGTGATAAACAGATATTTTCAGATCAGTGGTTTTTCACTCTTCTAGTAAAGGCTTACTATGATTACGAATTCAGATAGAAAGTTTCTGGTCGGCTATCTATATCAACCCTTGAAGGAAGCACGGTGTAATCTTTTCGTAATGTTATTACTTTCTGAATATGTGGTAGCCCTTGTGGGGTTAAACATCGATCGACGTTGCATTGATTATGTAATTAGCGGGAAGAAGCATGTTCTCTCACTTCAGTGGCTACTTGAATGTGGATAAATACTGTGGAAATGCTGCCTAATAAACTTCTCAAACTTTCATTGTATAATCCTTCTGAATGAATCGTGACTTATAATCATCGTATCGATTTGGATTCTAGTGGAAATGACTTTCTCAGTTCATGACTTTCTGACGTCTTCCTATTCAGATCTGTTACCTCCAAAGATAGGTCGTTGTTTCTTTCTTATTTTTTTGATAACTAACGCGTTATATAATTGTTAACGTTTGTCATGACTAAGTTATTGTTTTCTTCGTGAAGTTCAGTTCATTTGCAACCTTTCGTTTTCGTAGATCATCATATTAACGTCTGCACATAAATGTGTTTTCCGGAAGTTTTTCACGACACTGCTGACGGTCGTTGCTAACTGAAAGGTGTTTGCTGAATAAAAAGAGCCGCAAGTGAGTTACCTAGGATTTGAGACTTTGAAAATTTAATCAATTTAATTGATTTTTAAGCGATTTATTTTCTACACACTGTCTTCAGCTTATTCGGCGGCAGTTGTTAGATGCGGTCATCAGACATCAAGGTCGCACATTTCGCTTACATTCCCACAGCAGAACACCTAACTATACGCAATACTCGCAAACCGACTTATTGCCGGATTTTGGCTGGTCGTATTAAAGCACAGTGACGTAAATTTCTTGCTCAACGGAATCGGGACTTAATAAGAAACATTTCAAGTCATGCGTGACATTTGAACGCGACGCCTCTGAAGTGCGAAGAAAACCACTAATTTATTGACTACCGCTGCTAGATAACCATGACCCTGATCTCCGGTCTCAACCTTGATGATGAACATCGCCGTTGCTGTCTCAACGTTTGGTCATTCAACAGACCCTTCTGACTTTTTGATGACTATCGCAGATTGCTTCTTATCATTACGCT